AGTTTCTGAATAGTCTTTTCTGCATATAAAAATTACCTGAGTTCACCAAAAAACTTCCTAACAGATGGTCTCTTTCTATCAAACGCAGGAGACCATCTGCAAGTACTGCTTGATTTGATTTGGGTTAATAAAAGCTTTATTTATTTTGGAATCTCGATGACCTGGATCTCTTTAAAACCATTAATTTGTTCCTCTGGCTACTAGAAAGGATATAGACGTTGGTTAAAACCTTGTCTACCACTTAGCAGCTGGTGGCTTTAGGCACATGGTTTAATCTTATAACTTCAGTTTTCTTATCTTTAAAATGGCAATTAATTATACCTTGCAGAGCTGTAAGCATTAGGGGTAATGTAGGTAAAAGACCAGCAGGGGCTTGATAAATGGCACTATTATGGTCATAAATGTATATAAAGCTAAACAAAATATTGTTGAGCCTTCAGGAGAGAACGTCTTGTCTCGGCGCAGGAGCCTGCTCTCAGGCCCGAGTGCCAAACACTCCACCCCTTCTGGGGCCCCCACCAGAAAGTCCCTCGCTCTCCTTTACTATCTCCAACTATTTCAGTCTATCTCGAATTCTACTCAGTTATTTCTAGTCTTACTCTCCCTTTTTCCCCTTCTCTCATCCCAATACAGAGTCTTATGGATAATCTCCACGAAATGGGAACCCAGGAAACATGGCTGTCGTCAGCAAAATGCCTTCTGGATTATCCACATGGCAGGCAAGGAACACACGGGGGTGGGTGAAGGTAGAAAGGCAAGAACAGCTCCTCGTGGGCAGGAGAGGGGAAGACATGGACAAGGGTGGGTGAGGGGCAGACTCCCGAGAGCCTGAGCGCTCAACCTGCATCTGGCGAGGACATCCACTGAAAGCTTAAGCCAGAGTGTCCCAACTGGGTTTGTGTCCAGAATGATTAACTCCGGCCACAGAGAGGAAAACCCAAGGAAGGGATACAAGACAGGGTGATACTTTCACAGGCCACACAAAAGACAGTGAAGATGAGAATGAAATGAGGATGAATGGAAACGAGGCGTGATGCTTAGACATCTGGGGAGGGGCATTGGAACTCGGACCTTTGAGGAGGTAAGGAGGAGGTGAGCAGAAGAGCAGGTTGGGGTGTTAATCTGGGATTTCCTTCTTTTAAGCAGAAGAGTACCAACAGCTGGCTTTGAACACGTCCCTGACGTTGAAGTGTTTTCCGAATACTCAGGGCAAGATGTCTAGGAAGTAGGTGGAGAGGTAAGCCCTTTATTCAGGCTGATTTGGGAATCAAGACGATGACCTGGGAAAGAGCATCCATCCGGCAGTGCTGGTCACCTGCCTCTTGTATAACGTGAGCCACAAATACAACCACACACGTGGTTTTCAATTTCCTAGCAGCCGCATTAAAGAGGTAAAAAGCAACAGGGGAGAGTAATTTAACTAATATCATTAACCCATAATATCCAAAAAGAAGAGGAGCCACAAAGACCAGGGAAGAGCACTCACAAAAACACTTGATTTGGATTAATACATATATTTTCTTTATGGTACACAAGTAAAAAACATGTTACTCACGGTTTCTGAAGAGGAAGATGGTCTCTGTAAACTCTCACCTTGTACCCAAATGCTCTCAGTAACAAATGCTATGTGTTCTGCTTCAAGTATAAAAGGAGAAACAAGAAATAGGGCCCATTTGTTCAAGTCTTCAATGGACTGTATAGAGGGAAAGAAACATAAAGAGGATTCAGTGTCACTTCAGAATACAACTGCCATGTGTCTCAGCCTCCTCTGTGACATCCCATCCTCTGTAATTCTAGGTTAGGTCTAAACAAGCTTATCTGATGCTCTTCTATAGACCACATGAAACCTGTGTTCCTTGTCTAACTACGACTATTCAAATAGCTGCAAAAGCCCCTCTATGGCTCTTGACAGCTTCAACATCTCTAGATCTTTGTTTTCAAACAACGAATTCTGAAAGTGGGCTTCTCCCCACCATTCCTTACACTTAGGGTGTAGGAGCTTTCTAAATCACAATTTGGAAGCACATTTAAATATGAAGAGGCCAGGAAGTGTATGCCCACCTAAAGAAGCCTGAAGGGCTGTTCCCTCATTCCCTGCAGCCTCAAAGCAAGGGGCCCAAGGCAATTCCTTACCCAGAGTGAAGTAAACACTGCTCCTCTCCCTGGGATCTGAGAAGTGTGCCAGCCTCCAGGTACTCATACAATCGCCAAACCCAGAGAGATAAGCTATTTCAGGGACAGGCATTTACCATATGCAGAGAAGCAATCAAGCATATTTTAATGGGAAGGTAAACTCCAGTCAAGAGTGATTTTAGTTTTTTTAAAAGCAGATTAGAATCAAGATCAGATATACCCAATTACCTCCGTTCTTCTTCCTGAAATCTCTCTAAAAAAATAAAACAGAAATTGGTTTCGAAATGCTTTCACCCACCAAAAACAGGGCATACCCAGGGCAGAAAAAGCTGAAGTCTAAGGCTGGGGTGGGAGGAGCCTCATCACCCCAAAGAAAGGCATCTGGAGCAGACCCCACTGTGTTCACTCACTAGTTCAAGTCTGCCCTTGCCTAGCAACCTGGCGCTTATTGATGCTTGATAAAAACCTGTTAAATGAAATAACGAATGCAAATTTAGTGGGGGGGACTCCCCTCCATGGGTAAACATAATTATCAACATAGCAGTTAAAAATAAAAAAAGGCTCTCCACTTTACTCAAACACTAAATGTATATAATATACAGATAAAAAGCTTAAACTTTCCAGTTTGTATAAACTGTCTTTGGTTATACTTATCAATTTATTGTGGGACCTTCAATTGTATAAACATACACATTCATTATTTATTAATTTCATTTAGAATGTATAAAATATGGGGACAATAAAGGCACGAGATTTAGCTGTGTGGCTACCCCTGCCCAGGTAGACTGACAATAAGGCATCCATCAAACCAATGATATTTCAATCCTAAAGTAACAGTAGCTAATCACAAACTGTCAAGTCTTCCAACGGCAGGCCTTAAACATCAGAGCTGAAACCCCACAACTATTAAACACTCTTTCATTCATCTGAAATACTGAGTGGCTATTTCAGGCCAAGCTGCTAAGCTAAACAGACCCAGTTCCTAGTGAGAAAAAGATAAAAACTAGAAATAAGAACTGTGATTTAAAGCCTGTGGGGACACAGAGCAGGGCGGTCCCATCTGGTCTGGAAAACTGGGGAACGTATCCTTGATGCAGCAACAGCTCAGCAAAGCTCTGGGGTGAGGAAAGCTAACTGTACAGTAAGTTCCAGAATCCCTGAAAGCACTAGGCCTTCCCTACTTGGGGCTGCAGGTAGACGAGCGGAAAAGCACTAGTTACAGTTAGCAGAAGACTGATAGTTAACAGAAGACTGATAAAGTCACGAAAATGCTCAAAAGTACGACTGTCCAAGAAAATTAAATAAGACATTTACAAATCAACGTTTTTATATGTTCAAAATTTCTACTCTGACCTAAAATCCTAACGATTATATTTTAAATTAATTGATCCAATTTGAAAACCATTACAATAGAAGAGTCCACCTCTCAATTTTTCCTCATTTTAGGTTATCTTTCTCAATCAGGTTTATTAAGCCCTAACGCTCTAAGGCTGCGGTCCCCAACCTGAGGGCCTCGGTCCAATACTGGTCCATGGCCTGTTAGGAACTGGGACGCACAGCAGGAGTCAGCAGCAGGAGATTTGACTGCACAATAAATGTCATGCACTTGAATTATCCCAAAACCATCCCTCCACCCCCCAGCCTTGGAAAAACCATCTTCCATGAAACCAGTCCTTGGTGCCAAAAAGGTTGGGGACCACTGCTCTAGGGCACTCATTGTTATGTAAGGAAACCCAGAAATAAATCCACATATCTATGGTGAATTTATCTTCAACAGAGGTGCTAAGACCGTACACTGGGGAAAGGACAATCTCTTCCATAAACAGTGCTGGGAAACTGGATATCCATATGTAGAAGAAAGAAACTAGACCTTTATCTCTCGCCATAGACAAAAATCAAATAAAATGGATTAAAGACAAATCTAAGACCTGGAACTATGAAACTGTTAAAGAAAACACTGGGGAAATGCTTTAGGACATTGGTCTGGGCAAGGACTTCTTGAGTAATACCCCCAAAGCACAGGCAACCAAAGCAAAATTGGATAAATGGGATCACATCAAACTAAAAAGCTTCCTCACAGCAAAGGAAACAATCAACAAAGTGAAGAGACAACCCACAGAATGGGAGAAAATATTTGCCAACTACTCATCTGAAAAGGGATTAATAACTAAAATATATAAGGAACTCCAACAACTCAGGAAAAAATCAAATAATCTGATTAAAAATGAGCAAAGGATCTGAATATACATTTCTCAAAAGCAGACACACAAATGGCCAACAGGTATACAAAAAATGCTCCACATTATCAGTCATCAGAGAAATGCAAATCAACACTACAATGAGATATCATCTCACCCCAGTTAAAATGCCTTTTATCAAAAAGACAGACAATAAAGAATGCTGGCAAGGATGTAGGGAAAGGGAAACACTCCTACACTGTTGATGGGAATGTAAATTAGCGCAACCACTTTGGAGAACGGTATGGAGGTTCCTCAAAAGCTAAAAATAGAACTACCATTGTATGTAAAGAATGAACTTCTCCCCCTTGTAGCTAGGTCGTACTATTAAATAGTTATGCACCTTCCTTGGGAGAAGTGAGAAAACAGTCATTTATTTTCAATGTGTTATAGTACAGTATACTGTACTAACAAGAAAGAGTATTTTTTACTTGCTGGCAGCACAATTTTGACCCATACCTAAGCATAGCCTCAATGAAATGTTCAAACCTGAGATAAGATTTGAATTTCCACAGGAGGGTTACGGTTTGCCATACACAGAAAATCTCATTTTTAATTCGAAAAGTGGGCCAACTTTCCAGAAGGAAGAGGAAAGGGCAAGAACCCAACTAAAAGCAAAACACTTTTAAATGTTAATGAAAACAATGTTAGTGATGTCCATGAAAATTTGCACAGAACTGCAAAGTTCTTAACTGTGCTTAACTGGGCTTAACTATGAAGTTAAACCCATTTCCAAAAATAGTTGAATGGAAAGAACTATTGTTCCCTTTTACACCAAAGCAGTGGAGTTTTTACAGAGATTAAAGGACAGGCGCAAGCTACATTGTAGGTGGCACAGTCAGCTGAGCGTGCAGCCACCAGGCTAAGCACTGGGCCAAAAAACAAAGGCTGAGTGTCAACCGAACTGTAAAAGATGCAAAGACAATCCGCGAGGTGACCTACTTGGCAAATGATGTAACTGACAGAAGGAGAGGGGGAATGGGCAGTTTTTGTCACTTTGAGTATATCTAACAGAAAGCTAAGCACTGAGCTTTCTTTCCAAGTTCAGGTTCAACCAAACGCCAACCCACGAGCTAGGAGAGGACGTTAGGGAAAGAGTCCGGGTGGGCGCTGCTCCTGGTGTCCAGCTGCTAATCCGCAACGCCCAGGTACACGCCTAGAGGGAATGCTAGAGCCGTGCGTCTGCATCCTCACCCTGGCCCGCCTAGAAGAGGCGACCACGTCCCCAGGCAGAGTCCCGCATCTCCGCCCCCCGGCCACCAGCCCGTGCCGCGACCACACGCCGGGCGCCACTTCCGGCTCGCCGCGCCCACCCCCGGCCCGCCCACCTGGCTCTCGCCGACGCAGAAGACGCGGCTGCCGCGGCTCAGGCACACGCGGGCGCCGGTGGGCTGCGCGGCGGCGCCGCAGAAGGTGAAGGAGCAGCGCGAGGCGCGCAGCCGCCGCACCGTGGCGCGCACGAGCGCGGCCGGCCGGCGCCCCCAGCGCGCCCACAGGTACAGGTAGCACAGCGTGATGAGCATGGCCGGCGCCGGCGGGCGGGGCGCGGCCGGCGACGCTCTCCCCGCCGGCCACGGCCCGCCCGCCCCGCGCGCCAGCAGGCCGGAAGAGACGCGCCGCCCCGCCCCGGCCGGGGAGGGCTGCGCGGGGGTGGGGAGTGGCCCGTGGGGGTGGGAGGAGAAGGGAGGCCGGGATGGGGAGGGTGGCGCGGGGAGGAGAGGCTGCAGCAGGAGGGGCTTGCGGGGGGCGAAGCCGCGCTGGGGCTGGGCGACCGGGAGGACAAGGGACTGTGCCCAGGGCGGGTCCGGGTGGCGAGAGGCCGCGCCGAGACTGCGGGTGTGCGGTGGGGTCGGGGACGGGCCAGAGGAGGGGTTGGAGGCCGCGCCGGGGTGAGGCCTTGGTGAGGCCGGGAATGAGGCCGCACGGGAGTGGGGATGGGGCAGCGGGATGCGTAGGTTGTGGCGTGGAGGGTAGGTGCAGAGGCTGCCCGCCCTGCTGTAGTCTGAGTCCGGCCTCCCTTCCTGGGGGCGGGTGGGAGGCGGACTGAGGAATCGACTGTGCGTGTGTTTACTAGGGCAACAGCCAGCATTTGTTAGTCAGCACCATGCCGGGAGTCGGACAGCGCTCTCACAGCCTCTACCCAGTCCAGTGGGAAGATAAGGTGAGGCTGTTTTTATCAAATTATACTAGATCTTCATGCACAATAGGTTTTAAAGTAAATTACATAAATTCACACAATGCAATAATTTTTTTAATAAGGGCAGGAAACATAAGGTGAAAACAGATCAGCACCAAAAGCGCTGCCGTGCCAGTAAGGCTGCAT